GTTGAAATGTGTGGGAAAAATCACAATTTAAAGTCGAGCTGCGATATCTTATTTTGGACGGTTGAGGACACACAAGCTTCAAGTACGTTTTTTCTGGGAAAAATAATTAGTACGGTAAACTTCGATATATGTGCTCTTCAGTTATCAGAAAGAAGGCGAGGGCTTTATTCTGAGTGCACGGCCGTTGTTTTTGTCATAGGCCGTCATGGCGTCATAGTTTCTGCCAGCTATCGATTATCTCAGTATTTCTAAAGGTCCCTTTGTCTTCGTTTCAGCTCATAGATGATCATATCTCCTTCATGAGAAAAGTCTATCAACTTTATGATAAAGGCTGTCGAGTAAGACGGTTTAACAAAAGCTTATTTATAACTGAGCTTTCGGTTTAATTTAAAATAATATCGACTCAGGACTCAGAGTAAATTTATCCTAGGAAATTGCAGACGAGATTAAAGTAAAAAGACCCGGGGGGTCCATATCCGCTAGCGAATTTGGACCGGGGGGTCCAAATCCGCCGCTGGAACATCGGAAAGCAAAAGGTAGTCGATCGTTAAAAGGTGTTGATTGCTTGAGCGACTCCTGCCATTCGCTTGCGCTTTTAAATCTTATAACCTGAAAGCTTAGCTGTTGTTAGGATATCCTTTCATGACTTCCGTTTACGATGTGATATTAAGGGTTAGTTTTAGGGTGTCATTTCCACTTGGCAAAGCCGGATGAGATTGTGTTACAAAAGGTAATATTTTCATGTGTGTGCGGTTTTTTCTTTTTTTTCTAAGTATCAGTCTCTCCCGCAGAAAATAACTCCAGAGATACGTTTTTCAAAACCTTACTCAAGGTATTCTCTATTCTTTAAGCATATTTGAAACTCTGTACGTTTTTTAATAAACGTTGAGTGTGACGAATTTGGTGTAGGAGGTGTAAGGCTTCTCCTTTCGCGAATCCCATATTCACGCCTTTAAGTGTATGACATGGAAAATATTTCGTGTATTAGAAGGTCGCTGCCTCTTTGAAATGCGTTTGCATGCCAAGGGACGATTCCCCGTTTAATAACTCGCGAATTTGATATTATTCACACAGCCATCGGCTGTGTGTGAAACTGCTGCCAAATGAATAGATTCTCGGGCAAGACTGCAGTTTCGATTCTTTATGAATCTCTTCAATTGCCTCGTAATTAATAATAATTAATTTGTCACGGAGGAATAATAGGAGTCGCACAGGCCCGCAAACACTTTTTAACTTCCGAAGGAGCGGCAATTGACAGTGAATTTCCAATAAATTCCACGTTTATTCACGCTATCTTGTTCACTCGACCACCACAGGATGCAAATGACTTATTTTTCGGTTTACAACCATGATGCAACGCAATCAGAGTGCGCACACAGCCTGTGGCCCACTGAATCTTAGACAAATATGAGAAAATAACTTTTGATCAACAAAGAAATGACAGGAAGTAGAAGCTAATTAATCAAGGAAATTCATCTTAACTAGGTGGAATTGGGTTTGTAGATGAAATATATTTGAAATTCATCCACCCATGTTACGAGAAAGAGAGTTTGAAGAAATTTGTTCAGAGGTGTGTAAACTCTTGACTGCGAACAAACTAGTTTGTAACCCACTTTCCTGAACATGGTACTACGGAAGAATGCAATAATTAACATATTCATGAAAAGCACGCCCACACTGCGGGATAACAAATACCTTGATGCAGTCTTCTAAAACGATTGAGGTTCGTCAAAGACCGCGTTGTAAACCAACGTATACACATCGCCTTTGCACGAGGAATCACAAAGGTAAGGACGTTATCAGTAAGTGTTAGGGCTAAAAGGGTCTCTTTCTTTCAAAGGAAATTGAATCATTTCTCTCGCTCATGTCGTGGCTAGCAGGAGTTGTTTAGTTACGGCGTAGTTAACAGACGAAGAGGAAAGCCTCGCGAGCCAGCTTTCTGTAAATGCGTAAATACGTTTCCGTTTTCTACCTGGCAGCTCGAACTCTCATGTTGGTGGTGAATCGAATTAATGCACTTAATTTAGGGAATTACAAACGTCGAGTGCAGAAACCAACACACGAGTAGCTTCTTTATAAATCGTTTCTTGGCAGAAACTTGTCTCTCAGAAGATTAGGGCGGAAGAATGTTGTTATCTTCAATTCTTTATTTTATCGTACATTACTCAACTTACTCTATAGGGGAGATCAGTAACACAGGGCTATACAAAATGCGTATCTCCACAACAGTTGTACCTTAGAGCGACATTATTAAAATATGGTAGATGTGTTGTTATGTTTCATATCTTTAATGACCTCGAGGCAATTATTAATAGAAGCTTTTAGCCTAACAATGCTTGTCCTTAAGGGAAGCATCTTGCGACGAGTAAAAGAAGAATGTTCGCTCTAGATTTTTACTGTCAGAATTTAAATGTGAGAGTCTCCATTTACAAGGAATCAAGATTCCCTACAGTTTTCGTCACAAGACATGGCGTGATGTCAGTTGATACTGTAGTTATCTTACACCCGCAGAGAAAAAAGATACGTATAAGAATCTGCCAACAAAAAGACAAACAAACAAGTTGAGAAACATTACAAAAATCAAAATCATGTTGCAATTTATTCAAATATGTACATTTTCCTCGAAAGAAAATGAATAACATCAACAAATTCGATGAAAACGCGTCGATTTTAAAATCCCCTTAATTGGATCTTTATCGCACCGATTTACGGTTCACTGACGTTGTTACAACTTCCTGTCTTACGACTGCGTCATAGAATCAGGGTTAAGATATCGTGTTTTTTGATGAAAAACATCACTCGGAAAACATATGACAATTCACCATAAGTATCAAAGATGAGGTGGTGAAATTGCGACCCGAAATATTTCACGCGCCTATTGAGCTATTTAGGCATAAGCAGGGTGGTGCTACGCTCCAGTGCACGTCATTGTCTACTGTTCTAAAATCGAACCATTTCAGCGCTCTTTCAGTAGTGTGTGGATGACTCTACGAAGGACACTCGTTAAGAGCATTTATTCGTCGCTTTTAAGACGTCTAGATGGTTAACACCTCAACGTTGTTCATGTTTGCTTTTTTCACCAAGATGTATTTATGTGCAGACAAAGCTCTAAACTCGTTCGACGGTTCTAGTGAATCTTTGTTTAGTTTGTGTCTGAAGACCAATCTCAGAATTTTCTCTATTGTCTGCGGTACATTAAATAAATAATTTAAATGTAATATTGTAACGACATCTTATTTGTCCATTGCAAAATAACCCAAAACAACAACATTCCAGCCATAAATTAAGACAGATTAAAGTTTGGCTTAAAATCAACTAAGATGATATGCATTTGGAAAAAACTGTCACCTGAATTTTTCAAACTTTCTTTTTTAATGCAACCTTTGCGATTGATTGACAAGTAAATACCGACAGGTCTTAGGATCGAAAAGACTTCAGACTTATGGAACGTGCGCTCATCTTACAGTACTGTGGAGACAAAAAGACACATTTACGGTATTCAGGAACACAAATGTTATTTAGCATTTCACTTGTCAACTGGAATAACTCTAATTTCTGCCGGAGCTTTTAATAAAAGCCTCGGTAACGGTCCTACTTTCTCAAGTTCGGGATGAACTTGACAAAACACTTAGATAAACACGTCACACGTTACTCCTTTTTTTCCAACCAGGTCTAGCCACTCTCACTGAGAATTTTCGGATCGCTTACTGAGATCAGTATACTTTGAAAAACCTGTCTTCCAACCAAACGATTCTCAAAAATTATGTTTTGGATACAGATTAGTATTCTGAAACTCATCACTTCATAATTCACCCAAGCCTCGTGATAAGGGCAAAGTACAAGCTGGACTGCCTACGAAGTGTCACTGCATTGGAAAACGTGTTTTGACATGTCCAGCAGGTCACGCAAGTTTGAAATGTCACGCAAGTTTTAAAACGTTGGCACTGAGCTAGGTCTAGGTTAGTTTGAAATCACGGTTAACAAAAACGGTTCGCGGCCCAGAAACGTGAAGAACACTAGCCTTCCCTTTCACATCATCAGTAATCAACGATAAAATGAGCTTATTGCCATTATTTATTCTATCTAACCTGCAGTTTTCTCTCTCTCCTAGAACATAAAAGCTGGATTACGGCAATTGCTTGAGTCAGATAAGTACAATCCTTGTTTTTATTTCGATTTTCTGATCTCTTTACCTCATTGCTGAACTTTAATTGCGTAGAAGCAACAATAAAATTTCCGCTTACAAGCCAGGTAAGTTTTCGGTAAGTGATAGCAGTAAGTGAGCCTACGCGTGTAATCAGAGAATGGATTATTGACTAGTCGAATACGCATTGTATTTGATCACTTTGGAGAGACTTGTGAAAACATTAATTGAAGCTTGCGTGTTTCAGTTCGCTGTTAAAGGAACAACTTGCAGACTATGAATTATGTCAAGCCCCACCTGACAAACTTGAAAGCTCACTCTCAAGTGAAACATATTCTGCAATAAATAACGAGAAAAGCAGGGAAAAAACGTTTGGAAGACGAAACGCTTTCAAGCCACGTGTTGTCTATTTCCTTGTTACCATCGAGATGTACTGCCACAAATGTTATGCCACAAATCTTGAAAGAACAAGCGCTTTCAAGACATATTTCCAAATTGCTCGATGGCCGTCAAACCATAAGGGCAAAAATTGCGTTCAAGTGTCAAAATTTTTAAGCTAAAGTAACTTTCGCTGTCTAGTAGCTGATGCTTAACTTCTCTGAATTTCATTTTCCTGCTATTGAAAAGTTTTGAATTTCCGTGCGAATTCCGATTCTAATGAAAATCAGGAAATTCCGTCTTTTTTCTTGTTACCTCCAGGCAAATTAAATCGGTGTCTCCCGAAATAATTTCGTCCTTCAAGTTAATATAAAAAATGAAATAAAGTTAAAAAATATATATATCTGACTCACCAAAGTTAAAAATGAACTAATCTATGAGAAATAATGCTGAGGTTAGTTTACGATATATTAGCTAACTTTGGTTCCATATTTTGTTGTTGTAGTAATTGTTAAAACCGCCACCGATGTTGTGAATGTAACCGAGGGACAGTCAGTGTCTCTGAACTGCACCATAAGTGGTGATGGAAGTTATACTTGGGAACGTCGAGATGGAACCGAGATCGAAAATGCGAAAAGAAAGGTGACTCTTTCTTCCTTATTTTCTATACATTTGTATCTACTACTTTCTTTTATTTTCCACACTAAGCGAAAGATGTTTGAAAGTATCAAAGTTTTAAAGATACGATCAGCATGCAGCGAGTAACCATCGAGTTTTGGATGTACTTGGGAGGTTTACTAAGCACTCAAGAAACTAGCACCTCCCTTCTTACGCTTCTTTTGTGCTTAGCAGCCTCCCGCGTGCATCCATAATTCGATGGTTGCACGCTGCAAGCTGAACATTTTTTAATACTACCCATCAGGTCATATTTTTACTCCACATTCTTACGGTTTCTAAATAGTTTTCACCCATCCATCCCACCGTATTTCCTCCCTGCACCTACAGTTGTTGATAGAGTGCAGCAGGTCTCCCGTTCCAATTACAGAAGACAACGCGGTGGCACTGTTAAGAATGTGTGCCTTTCCCATTTCGAGCTGAGTTGTATATATCTCGATTACTTCCAATATCGAAAAGAACACCTGTAATCCCTTTTCACTGAACACATCTAGCTTCCTGCTTGCCTTTCTCCACGTTTCTAGAATTCATCATTTCTTTTTTTGGTAATTTTCTTCAAAGTTTCTATTACAGGGGTCATTTTCACAAAATAAACCAATGGCACTAAACAAAACGATCAGTTTTTCTAACGACAGTGGAATTTCTACGTATGGAAACCTCTTCCAAGGGATCCCTATACTCCAGGGAAGCAAACTTTGTTCCCGGCCGGCTAAAAATAAAGCTCCTTTGTGCCTGTGTGGAATGGTTTCACCACACTCTAAGGACACAAACTATGGTCCTGACAAGGAAAAATGCACTTCCAGTTGTCCTCATTTAAGGAAACGTAACTCAGAGGACACTTTTCATAATTCAGAAGGTGTCTCCTGAGGAGAGGTCAGGACTGTAGATTCAATCGAACCAATAAGTGCCAAGGAGCTTTGTGCCAATAAGAGTCAATTGAGTACCAAGGATTGTGAATGTGACCTTGTAATAGAAGCCGTGCAGAAAAAGATCTTCATTCTAAATATCTTATCACTTATCATTAGTCTTGCTTAGGTTAAGAAGCTGGCTCCGAATAGCCTTGCTAATAAAGGGCTATTAAGGACTTTTAAACAAAAATTTGTAGAAAATAAGACTAACGCTGTCGCTGTTTTTGTCGAAGGTTAAAGGAGGAGGACGACTGCTTGAAATTACTGACGCGGCCATCGCAGATTCTGGTGCCTACACCTGTAAAGCAGGCGAAAAGGCACACACCATCACGCTACATGTTATTGGTAGGTAGATGATGATAAGCCTTTCAGCCTAAACGCACTTTGCTTTAGATTCAAAGGGAACCACAAGTGTCGTTTATTTTTACATGTCGCAAATAAATTAATAACTTCCTAATACATAGAAGCATTCCCTCCTTTTCGGCGAAGTCCGTCGCGTGGAAGGAAGAAGTATTATATTTTGTCCGTTGTAGAGATGGGCATGTTATGCTTTTTTTTTTTTATTACAGTTGAAGTCAAGGTGGAAATGGCCCTGCAGGTTGAAAATTACAACTACACTAAAGAGCTGGAGAATAAGTCATCGCCACAATACAAGGCAATCGAGAAAAACTTTACCGAGGAGGTATGATTTGTTTTCCTCCTTCCATCTTTCCATTCTCTCTCTCCCCATTCCTTTTTTTTTCTCCTCCGCTCCTCACTTTTTGCTTTCCTCTCCAATCCTTCCTCCCTCCTTTTCCTTCTTCCTCTGTTCTCTCTTCTTCCCTCCAGTAATTTCCTCCTTCCTCTCTCATTCCCCTCCCACCTTTCATTCTCTCTCTTTCTTCCCTCTCTCTCTCTTCCTCCTATCCCCTTCCGCCCTTCCTTCTCTTTTTCTCTTCCCTTCCCATTCTTCTCCCTCCTTCGTTTCCCCTTCCGACACTCTACCATTTCTCCCACCCTCTCCCTCTCTTCAGTCCTTCCTCCTTCCCTCCTCTTTCTCTGAATTCTTTCCTTCCTCCCCACAGTCTGTTCGTACCACCTATTCTACCAAATGTCTTAACAAACGTCTTTCTCCCTATATGTCACCTCGTCAATAGGTTCAATGCTTTGAATGCAGAGGTTTAAAGAGTACTAGTAAATGAAATAAAGGCAACACCTATTGTTATGTTTCAGATGGACATCGTTTACAGAAATACTTCAGCATATATAAGAACAGAGGTTTTGAAAATGACGTGAGTGCCCAAGAGCGTATTCCTACTTCTTTATTCCACGGTTAAAAACTCAGAATATTTCATTTTCGCGTGAAGCAGTCTCAATAGTATATAATAGCATATCTCTCATTTCATATGCTGTATTGATCTAAGCGTGGATAAATACCATATATCAGCGATCTCCATGGCACATAAATTTTATCCAAAGAGTCGCTCTCGCTTATCAAAGATAAATAACAAACAATTCCATGATTAATAAGAAATGTAAGTCGTTATTGCATGAGGCTAAATAAACCCTCTGATTCCCTTTATAGTAATCAATACTTAGACCAACGATTTTACGCTCCGATTCTCTACAGCTGAGTAACCAGAGTAGGAAAAATCTTAAGTTTCATGCTCGGTAAAATAATAAAGAAATGGCCTCCCTCTAACTTGTCCCCTGTTTTCCATCTTTCTATAAATTACCATGTGATTAATCATTGTAGCAACAGTATGACTATTTTCTAAAACGAATTTTGTCCCTTGATATTTTAGGAAAGGAAGTGTGGTAGTGGATTTCAACGTTATTATCCAAATTGTAACAACTGATCCCAAAAATGAGACAACTATAGTAGATAAAAAGGCCTCAGTCGTCCAAACGACAATTAAAGAAGCCGAAGATGGGTTTGTAAAGCGGCTAAAAGTGTCCAAAGTCATTCCAAAGAGTAAGTTTGTCGCAGTAAAACTGGTTCTTTACAAGTTCTTTTTAAAATTTTGAGCGGGATTCGATATTTCCTGGGACTCCAGTCTCTTACAATTCCTCTATCCACCCAGAAGCATGGATAAGTATGAGTGGGTGATGACAAACTGCCACTGCTACTGAAACGTAACAAAATTGCAGATGAATTACCTGCCATGGAGTGGTGTCCAATCAAGGAGAAGTGGCAACACTCCTGATTTCTAATTTGATTGCCAACTAAGATAGCTTTTGATTGTTGAACAAATACTCCTGTTGGGAAAATGGAATATTTATAAAAAAAAAAAAACGTTGTGTAAAAGTACAAATTGATGGTCAATGGACCACTTGTTTCGTAAGATTTAGTCACCCGTGTAAGAAAGGGTTAATGTCAATAGAAACTTTACATGAGGAGGCTTTTCTTGCATCATGTGATTGGAGGGATATAAGGAAAGCAAAATAACGTGGAAAATTAGCGGTTAAAGCCACTGACGCACTCAGAGGCAAAAACCCTCAAGTTGTAATATCCAAAAACACTCGTTATTGTTTGAGTAATTTTCAAATGTCTCTGTAACTTTGATACTTGCACCTTGTTTTATCCTTTAGCCCTCAGATAATCTATTTGATTTTCCACTCGTTTGAAAACTTATGATCGTTTCCTCTGTATTTTCAGCCGAACCTCCAGAGCCTAGTGGCGTGGAAATCTTTGATATCAAATCTGATGAGCTGAGCATTCGATGGAAACCGTCGGAAGATGCTGAAACTTTCGACGTTCGCACTTACTCGGTGCAATACAGAGCATATGGTGAAAAGACCTACAGCGAGCATAATCAAACAGCAACCGCTGAAACTACAGGCTACTCTTACAGGATTAAGTCTCTCGAACCTGAGACTGTCTACATGATACGGGTCGGTGCTTTTAACTCGTATGGACCCAATTTCAACGAAGAAACTGGCCATGAAACCGAACCCGCACGTAAGCCACTTTTAGTGATATACAGTAATTTGTAAAATTAACAAAGTTATCTACAGGTTTTCGGTGAATTTAAAGTTTTTTCACTTTTTTTTTTAACCTTCACTCGTGAAGTCACTTGTGTTATTAGTTTTTTAATCTTAAGGTTTACGTATTACTATCGTACCTTCGCAATTTGTAAGCATCAAAACGCAGGTCGTTATACTCTGGCAAACATATATTGGAAATTTCGTCTTCCTGTTTTAAAATTTCGATGGATTCCCTCACTTCGAAACTAGGGAGAGAAATTTTGAATTAGAGTCAGGCTTCAACAAGCCATTTTAACACTTTATTGCTACTCACATCTTAATCTTACGTCATAAGTCCCGCAATCTTCGTCTTACCTATGGCCATTCCTTTAATACTGATATACAGCCTTTGAAAAAGGTCGACAATGTCATGTGTGGCTTTAATTCTGATATCACACATTTTTTATTACAGCTTTTGCTTGGTGGATTATTTTCTTGGCCGTGTTAGGTGTCCTCTTGATTCTTGGCATACTCATCGGCATTATTATTCACAGACTCAAGAAAGCGCAGGAAAGAAGAGAGCAAAGAGAGGCTCGGTTTCAAACTCTCCCATCCCAAAACGAGGCTCAAAAGGTACCCTTACGGCGGATTCCCTTCTTGTGTTAATCCTATATAAACATAAACCAGATACGGTTCTACAGTTGCATGCAATGAGAGCATTCCATTAAGAGTCGAAAAATCAAATCAAACTAATCGCAGCAGCCTATCACGACAAAGGAAAATATCCCGAGGATGAGAACTCTACGTAAAAAACAAGCAAGTTGCTTTAGGCCCGTTCAAGAGAGTGGTGCGAGTTTTCTGGACCAGTCACGCAGCGGAGCAAGTCAAAATCAAAGCAATCCAGGATTACCTTGGACACTCAATTGAACATTTCTCCATCAGAAATTTATCGCACATTACGAAAGGTTCTGTCGACCTATCCTTGCCATTTAACTAAAATCACACCATCCTTGATGTGAAATCACTGTCCACGCATATTTTGTCTTTCAGGGCGAAGTAGCAGTTTACCATGCGGAGAATGTTAAAGCGTTAACATGCTCGTTTACAAACACTGCTTACAAGCCGGGTGAGATGAACTGGAAAGAGTTTCTGTACGCGAATATCAAACTGTTGGATGAACTAGGTTCGGGAGCATTCGGCATCGTTTTTAAAGGAGAGCTGCAGCAAGAGAACGGGAATATCATTCCTTGCGCAGTAAAAACCTTAAAACGTAAGTCTAGTATGCAAGGCTCACGCGTAGCGTGTTAGTCAATAAACTTGTCAGTTTTGAGGAGTTAGTCAGTCAATCAGTCAGACAGGCAGTCAGTTAATCAGTCCGTCAGTCAGCCAGTTTGTTAATCAGTCAGTCAGTGAACTAGTCAGCCAATCAACTAGTAATTAAGACAGCTAATCAGCCAGCCATTCAGTCAGTCAGCCAGCTAGCCAGCCAGTCGGTCAGTAAGTCAGTCAGCCAAGTGATTATGGGAACTTTTATGTTGAATTTCTTTATATTTCCATGAATAACGAAAAAACTCTTGTGAGCTTCATATAAGTTACATATGTCAACTTGTTTTAAATGTCACCAAATTTCACCCTTGTTTTATGAAACAGCATCTGCCACAAAGGTGGAAAGGAAAGACTTGTACAATGAGTTGGAAATCATGGCCAACGTAGGACACCATCCGAACCTCGTGAATTTGATCGGAGCATGCACCCAAGATGGTCAGTAAAACACTTGAACTATCATTCAGAACCCTAAATTAACCCTTTTACTCCAAAAAATTAAAGCGCAATTCTAGTTACCACACATTTACCACTCAATTAGTTATGATTAAGTGCTGCTTTGACTCTCAAGCTCTTCACATATTTGGTGGATAATGTATCAATATCGTGAGAAGAAGTTACACGTCAATCGCCTCTGGTAGTTGGTGGGGATTAAAGAAGCTGATTCACATTTAGTGCAACTTGAAATTTTAAGCCTGATTTTTTTTTTATGCTTGTTTGCAATCCTTTTAAATCTTTTCCATCTTTGACCATCCTCGCTTCTTCCTAATTCAGGCTTCCCATTTTATTGTGATTCTTTTCCACCAAACTAATATTCTGTGTTTTCATTTTACGTCAAGAGTAATAATACACATCCAAAAGAACGACCTAATTTCCCAAGCTCGTCATTTGCAGTCAGAGTCAATCTTCTTCATTCTTTGCTATCCTCGTTCCTTTCTTCCATTTTCATGTTTTTCGTCTAACCAACATAACATTTGTTGTATTTCCTTTTAATGAACATAATTTTCCATGTTATAACCGAAATATTAAAAATGTTGTAACTTGGCGCCCTTAACGTTTGAAACTATTTTAGATAAGTCCATTGGTTTCATTCCATTCATTTCTTTATCTCTAGACCACCTACTCGTTATAATAGAGCTCGCAGAAAACGGCTGCCTGTTAGATTTCTTAAAACAGTCCCGACAACAAGATGGAAATAACACTAGAAGCGGCTTAACAGAACATATGAAGACATCGATAGCCGTCGATGTAGCGCAAGGAATGGCACATTTAGCACGCTGTAGGGTGAGTTCAAGGTAGTACCTGTAACATTCTAGGGGTACCCACTTTTCCTCCTACCATACACCCCCATCAGTCCTCTGCACTGTCTACTCTTTCAATTTTTTTTTTTGTAATTTAACCTCTGACAGTCGGGAACTTTATATACAAACATCACAGATATTTTCTTTTCTCATCTTATTTTCAACTTGAAAGTGTTTTGGTTTTTGTTTGGGGAAGTTTCTCTGTAGAGTTACGCAATGATGTAAGATGACTCGTCATTCTTAGTTCTGATTCTTTGGACAGAATTCCTTTATGATACCTTTCAAACGAAGGGCGAATTTTGATGAACAAAAACTGCTGAGGCATTTGATATTTGTCAAGTAACTTTAACAAACACCTACGACAATCAAACATAACTTGAAATTTTGTTTGTATCAGTGTATTCACCGAGATCTCGCAGCAAGGAATGTTTTACTGGGGAAGGACTACGTTGCTAAAGGTTCCGATTATGGTATGGCACGTGATGTGTACGAACAGCTGATGTACAAGAAAGAAACTGAGGTAAATTACTCGTTAAAAGTACTAAAAGTATATAGACTTACAAATAGAATAATTTCTGTACTTCTCAGATCTGATTCGTACTCCCTCCGTACAGCTGATCGCTGATCGTCATGTTCTTGTGCTCTACATTATGAAAGTTTGGTATTCAAAAACTCTCTTTTAATGGAAAGAATGGGAATTTAGCAGTAGGAATTCAACGAGTTGGCTCTTTTTGTCGAGAGGACGAGAACTAACATAAAACTCAACCATTATATGACGCTAGATCCAAGAGCACCCTTATGATTGCGATATCTCCTCTTCCCAAAAATTTCTTATACCGTACAATTGGATGAAATCATCTGGTAACCCAAGGCCAAGCTAAACGCAGTCATTCCGACGAAGAATTTCAAACTCATGTACGTGATTCTTTTATTTGCTTCTTTCAGGGTAAACTTCCGGTTAAATGGATGGCTGTCGAGTCCTTGGAGACATACACTTTCATGATGGAATCTGATGTGTAAGTCATTTTAAATGGCCAGGGTATGAGGCTAAAATCCTGACTGAAATACTCATCTACCAATGTAAGCCACTGAAATTTTGTAAATTTCCTTGACAGTTCACCAGCACCCTTTATGTATTTAGCGAGAGGGAGGGACGCCGTGAATTTAGAAAGAACTAAGATATTTAAAACTTTAAATGTATCGGTAATTCCAAATACTAATTTTTCTTAAATCTATTTATAATGAGCAAAAGATGAATTCTTACTTTCTGGACTTTTTTAATCTTCAATTTGTTTTTGTTCAAACGCAGGTGGGCTTACGGAGTACTGCTTTGGGAAATAGAATCAGGATGTGAGATTTGTTTCCATCTAGTAATGCATCGGATTCAGAAAAATACCCTATGTGTAAATGTACTCTATAAACTCAAAAAAACACACAGCTATTACTACCAGGTCATGGGTCAGATGATGTTGACAGGTTGTCAATGGGTAGATTTTTATGTTTATTGTAAATTCTGACTTTCATTGTGAAAGATTGAGGTTCGAAGAAGAGTTTTGTTCAGAAATAAAGATGAAATTAGATCAGTTTTAATTTTGAATACCTCCTCCCAAAGCTGTTGCAGGTACACATAACCAGGCTTTGGAAGCACTTTTGTTGTTGGGAGCGACAGATTGTTCAGAAAGCTTTTTTGAGGGAGGACCACTGTGGAGATTGTTCATTATAACTTTAGAGAAAACTGTGAGTTTGTGTCAGCAGTGAGCCAAGCCAAGTAGAGCCTTTCTTTATCTGGCAAATTCGTTAAAAGCGCAAATTATAACGAGGATAAACGAGGGAGGATCTCATTTATAACATATAACCAAATCTGAGTTAATAAAAACAAACAAAACATAACCATGTGCGTTTGACAACTTGAGCCAAAAGTAAAATGAAAAATCTAATGTAAAAAGAATAGTAGATTCATTAATTGGATTTAGTGTTATGGATATGAAATTAATAAATATTTTATAGCTAAAAAACAGCGGGCTGAGTCTTCAGTCGAAAGGGAAAGTCGATCGCCAATAACACGTGCATCTGACAGCTCACCGGTCACGAAGCGACTCTTACCTCGAAATCCGGCCCTTCATCTCGCCTTATAGCCGCAATCCATATCGATTTCAATAAATCGTTCGAAGAAATGTTGAAAAAAGATAAATTCTCACCACTTTTATTTTTAGCTAGTAGCTGAAATAAGACCTGAAAAAAAAAAAAAAATTCAGACCCGTACGGGATTTGAACCCATGACCTTTGCGATACCGATTCAGGTCTTATTTCAACTACTAGTTCAGTAGTGTTCATAGGTGCGAGGATCTCTTATATTTGTTTGTTCACCACATTGCATATATATGATTTTTATATATCTACAGTCATTATTCATCACTTCTATTTTGTTTGTCGTTACTACAGAAATTAACACAACAATGATCGTGGTCCATCTCCACTCAAAACACTGTAATGTAACACAACGCTAAACCTTATGCCCGTCCAGTCTCGATTTGGTGCGCCACGCAATCCAAGATGGCGCTGCGTGATAAAGGTCCATAAGTGTATCTGCCGTATTGGTACCTTTTAAGCTTCGGTTTGGAATTGAAAAGCTTGAAACCGAGCCTCTCTTTGCTCTCTTCTTTCCCGCGCTTTCTTGCGTCTATAAATAATAATGCCGATGAGTATGCCAAGAATCAAGAGGACACCTAACACGGCCAAGACAATAATCCACCAGGCAAAAGCTGTAATAAAAAAGAATGTGTGATATCAGAATTAAAGCCACACATGACGTTGTCGACCCTTTTCAAAGGCTGTATTTCAGTGTTAAAGGAATGGCCATAGTTAAGACGGAAGGCGTAAGATTGAAGGTATGATTTCCCATGCTGTAAAATGTACATAGCAATACAGTGTTACAACCGCTTGTTAAAAGCTGACTTTAATTCAAACTCTCCTTCCCTACTTTCGGAGCAAGGTGATTCATCGAAATTTTATAATAGTAAGACCAAATTTCCAGCGTAAGTTTGCCAGAGTGTTCCGATGCTTACAAATTGCGAAGATACAATAGTAATACATAAACCTGAAGATAAAAAATAATCAGTGATCAAGTTTCCAGCAAAAATATAAACGAGATGTCACGTGTAAACATTAACAAAATACTGGTGAAAAAACTTTCAATTCACAAAAAACCTGTTGACAACTTTGTCAAATTCAGAAATTACAGTAAATAATGAAAAATGGCTTACGTGCGGGTTCGGTTTCATGGCCAGTTTCCTCGTTGAAATTGGATCCATACGGGTTAACAGCACCGACCCGTATCATGTAGACAGTCTCAGGTTCAAGAGACTTAATTCTGTAAGAGTAGTCTGTAGTTTCAGTGGTTGCTGTTTGATTATGCTCGCTGTACGTTTTTTCACCATATGCTCTGTATTGCACCGAGTAAGTGCGAACGTCGAAAGTTTCAGCATCTTCCGACGGTTTCCATCGAACACTCAGCTCATCTGATTTGATATCAAAGATCTCCACACCATTAGGCTCTGGAGGCTCGGCTAAAAAGGAAAAATAGAGAGGAAACGATCATAAATTCCGAAACGAGTGCACAATCAAAGAGATTATCTGAGGGCTAAACGATGAAACAAGGTGCAAGTATTAAAGTTACAGAGACATTTGGAAATTACTTAAACAATGGCGAGTGTTTGTTGATTTTACTGCTTGAATGTTTTTGCCTCTGAGTGTATCAGTGGCATCACTCGCTCGTCGTTTTTCTTTCTTCATATCCTTTCCAATCACATGATGCAAGAAAAGCCTCCCTATGTAACGTTTCTATTGACATTAATCCTTTCTTACCCGGGTGATTAAATCTTACGAAACAAGTGGTCTATTGACCATCAGTTTGCACATTCTCCACTCCGTTTTTTTTCTTTATAAATATCCCATTTTCCCACCAGGAGTATTTGTTCAACAATCAAAAGCTCTCTTAGTTGCCAATCAATGATACTTTAAAGAGAAATTAGATTCCAGGAGTGTTGCTACTTCTCCTGGATTGGACACCACTCCATGGCAGGTAATTCATCTGCAATTTTGTCACGTTTCAGTAGCAGTGGCAGTTTGTTATCACCCACTCATACGTATCCATTCTTCTGGGTGGAAAAGGCATTGTAAGAGACTGGAGTCCTAGGAAATATCGAATCCTGCTCAAAATTGTTAAAAAAAAAAATTGTAAAGAACCAGTTTCACTACGACAAACTTACTCTTTGGAATAACTTTTGACACTTTTAGCCACTTTACAAACCCATCTTCGGCTTCTTTAATTGTTGTTTGGACGATTGAGACCTTTTGATCTTTGATGGTTGTTTCGTTTTTGGGATCGGTTGTTACAATTTCGATGATAATGTTGAAATCCACTACCACACTTCCTTTCCTAAAAATTAAGGGACAAAAGTCGTGTTAGAAAATAGTCATACTGTAGCTACAATGATTTATAACGTGGTAATTTATAGAAAAATGGAAAACAGAAGAATTAAGAATAAGTTAGAGGGAAAACAATTCTCTATTCTATTACCGAGCATGAAACTTTACATCTTTTCTACTCTAGTTACTCAGTTGTAGAGAATCGGAGCGTAAAATCCGTAGGTCTGAGGGTTGAGTACTATACAGGGTTTATTTAGCTCCATGCAATAACGACTTACATTTCTCAATAATCATGGAATTGTTTTTTATTCATCTTTGAAAAGCGAAAGCGATAAATTTATCCTCCGTGGAGATCATTGATAAATGTTGTTTATCTACGCTTAGATCAATACAGCATATGAAATAGAAGATATGTGTGGCTATTACATACTACTGAAACTGATTCACTCAAAAATGGAATATTTTGAATTTTCAACTGTGGAGTTAGGAATTAGGAATACGCTCTGGCACTCACGTCATTTTCAGGACATCGGTTCTTATGTATCCTGGAGTATTTCTGTAAACGAATTCCATCTGAAACATGAAAAGAGGTGTTGCTTTTATTTCATTTATTAGTACTCTCTAAACCCTTGCATTCAAAGCTACTGAACCTATTGACGAGGTGACAGGTTGGGAGAAAGACGGTTTGTAAGTCCTTCGGTGGAATAAGAAGAACGGATAGTGGGAAGGAAGGTAAGAATTCAGGGAAAGAGGAGGGAAAGAAGGACTGAAGGGTGGGAGAGGGTGGAGAAATGGTAGAAAGTTGGGAGGGGAAACGAAGGAGGGAGAAGAATGGGAAGGGAGGAGGAAAGAAGAAGAGAGGGAGACAGAGGAAGAGAGGAGGAGAGAGAGACAATGTAAGGTGGAAGGGGAATGAGAGGGGAAGGAGGGGATTAATGGAGGGAGGAAGAGAGAACAGAGGAAGATGGAAAAGGAGGGAGGAAGGATTGAAGAGGAAAGCAAAAAGTGAGGGGAAAACAAAAGGAATGGGGAGAGGGGGAATAGAGAGATGGAAGGAAGAAAAGAAATCACACCTCCTCGGTAAAGTTTTTCTCGATTTCCTTGTATTGTGGCGATGAATTACTCTCCAGCATGAATGGAATGAGAGGGGAAGGCGGGGATTAATGGAGGGAGGAAGAGAGAACAGAGGAAGATGGAAAAGGAGGGAGGAAGGATTGAAGAGGAAAGCAAAAAGTGAGGGGAAAACAAAAGGAATGGGGAGAGGGGGAATAGAGAGATGGAAGGAAGAAAAGAAATCACACCTCCTCGGTAAAGTTTTTCTCGATTTCCTTGTATTGTGGCGATAAATTACTCTCCAGCTCTTTAGTGTAGTTGTAATTTTCAACCTGCAAGGCCATTTCCACCTTGACTTCAACTGTGGTAAGAAAAAAAAAAACACATCCTCATCTCTACAACGGACATCATAAATTACTTTTTCCTTCCTAGTATAGTATAGCCTCTTTGAGTTTTTGTCAACAACAACCGAACTAACACTTTGTAGTCAATTACAATCCATTTTAATTTTCTCCATCCTCGGCCAACCTTGTTTCTTCTCGGTTTTTTATAGCGTCTTTTGTGTTTTTCTATCGTACTGCGCCAATATTTAGTAGTTATTGTCAGTCCATTTAATGTATCTTCTCCAACTTTTTATCTCTTATGGCTTCTCAGTGCCTCTTTTGTGTTTCTTCATCGTACCCAACTAATATTTCAAAGTCATTTAAAATTCATTTAAACCTTCCCCTTCCTTACCCCTTACTTGTAACTTCCTGTACGTTCAATCCCTCTTTTGCGGATTTGTGAACTATCGTTTTAGCTTTTGTTATGTTCAAGTTGAGGGAAGTTTTACTCGGGGCGAACATATCTCCAAGAGCTTCCCGTGACGAGCTAACGTCAAATTTTATTTTACTGGTATTCATCAATTACGCAACGGACTTCGCTGAAAAGGAGGGACTGCTTCTATTTATTAGGAAGTTATTAATTTATTTGAGACATGTAACAATAAACGACACTTGTAGTTCCCTTTGAATCTAAAGCAAAGTGAGTTTAGGTTGAAAGGCTTATTATCATCTACCTACCAAGAACCTGTAGCGTGATGGTGAGAGAGTTTCTGCCTACTTTACAGGTGTAGGCACCAGAATCTGCAATAGCCGCGTCAATGATTTCAAGCTGTCTTCCTCCTCCTTTAACCTTCGACAAAAACATCGACAGCCTTAGGCTTATTTTTACAAATACTTGTAAATTCTTGAAAATAGAAGAAAGTGCTAGTTATACATTTATAGAAAACAAGGAGAGAAGAGGCACCTTTCTTTTCGCACTTTCGACCTCGATTCTGTCCCGACGTTCCCAAGTGTAACTTCCATCGCCACTAATGGTGCAGTTCAGAGACACTGACTCTCCCTTAATTACATTCACAACGGTGGGATCTTCAAAAATTGCTACAACAACAAAATATTGAACCAAAGTTTGCAAATATATCTTAAACTCACCTCAGCATTATTCCTCACAGATTAGTTCATTTTTATCTTTGATGAGTCAGATTGTTTTTTTACTTTATTTTATTTTTGATACTCAATTGAAGGACGAAATTATTTCGGGGTGACACCGATTTCATTTGCCTAGAAGTAACAAGAATAAAAAGCGGAATTTCGTAATTTTTCAATAGAGTCGGAATTCGCACGGAAATTCATAACTTTCCAACAAGAGAAAAATGAAATTCAAAGACGTTAAGTATGAGTTACTAGACAGCAAAAGTTTCTTTATCTTAAAATTCTAACACTTGAACGCAATTTTTGCCTTTATGGTTTGGTGGCCATCGAGCAATTTGCAAATCTGTCTTGAAAGCGCTTGTTCTTTCAAGGTTTGTGGCATAACATTCGTGGCAGTGCGTCTCGATTGTGACAAGGAAAAGAGACAAAACATGGCTTGAAAGCGTTTAGTCTTCCAAACGTCTTTTCCCTGCCTTACTTGTCTATGCATTGCAGAATATGTTTCACTTGAAAGTGAGTCTTTCAAGTTTTTCAGGTGGGCCTGAGATAATTTATAGTCTTGAAAGTTGTTCCTTCAAGAGCAAATTGAATCACACAAACTTTAAAGAGTGTTTTCACAAGTCTCTCCAAAGTGATCAGATACAATGCTAATTCAACTAGTCTTGTGATGCACACAAGCTCACTTACTTTTATCACTTACCGAAAACTTACTTCTTGGCTTGTCAGCAGAAATATTACTGCTGCTTCTACGCAATCAAAGTTTAGCAATGAGGTGAAGAGATCACAAAATCGAAAGAAAAACTAAGAAAGTACTTATCTGACTCAAGCAATTGCCGTAGTCTAGCCTTTGATGTTCTAGAGGAGAGAAAAAACTGCAGGTTAAAAAGAGGAAACAATTGCAATAAGCTCATTCATTCCGTTCCCGGCGCGTCAAACGCCGGGGTTTTAGTTCTCCCTGGTTTCAAACGAACCTAGACCTCGCTCAGTGCTAACATTCCAAAAACTTGCGTGACGTCCTAGACGTGCCAAAAGTCACGTTTCACGATGCAGTGACACTTCGTGGCAGCCCAGCTTGTACTTAACCCTTATCACGAGGCTTGGGTGAAGTCCGAAAAAGTCATGAGTTTCAGAATACTAATTTGTTTCCAAAACTAAATTTTTGAGCATCTTTTGGTCGGAAGAGGACTAATGAGTAATGTGACTGCTGGATGTGTCAAAAATGCCAAAAATAATTCTAGAAAAAATTTAAGAACTACAAACTACACTTATGAGATCTGCAAGGTTAATACGCCGTATGTTGGACTTAAAGGATTGTAAGTAGTAAAATCTGGCGGAATTTGCTCTGTCGCAGCCACAAGCCTGCTATGCACCGTACACCTTCGGCTTGAAACATCGGTGGACTTATTTTTTGCGGACTCTGCCTGATATCCATGATTTGCTAGGAAGCAATATCGCAAGTGCTCCTGACAGCAATTCTAGAGCGCAAAATCAGTCACAGAGAGAGCGACATTCTTGCCCTGCCAGTACGCTTAGGACTAGGAAATCCTTGTCAGGATGCTAAGTGCGAGTACATCTCCTCAGTCGAAATCTTGGCTCCTTTTGTCACGCAAATCGACTCTCACTTGCACCAACTACCAGACGAGGCCCTAATTAAATCTGCGCAATACGCCATAAGAAATGAAAGGACGAAAGAACTCAAAGAAAGGAATGCACGAATCAAGCAGGAAGCTTCACAGAAGACACGACGCGCGCTACAACTGGTCGCAGAGAAAGGAGCATTTGTTTGGTTAACTGTATTACCACTCCAAGAACTAGGATTCACCCTAAACAAAAGAGAGTTCCGTGACGCTACGACTGGCCGATTGATGATATCCCCTCCACCTATGTATGCGGGCGGGTATACCTCTACGGTAGACCATGCAGTGGTATGTAAACAGAGAGGGTTTATTGATCAGCGACACAACGAGCTGAGAGACCTAGAGGCCGAACTCTTGAGTTCTGTATGCAGCGATGTCAGGATGGAGCCTATCCTCCAAGACATTTCGGGAGAACAGCTGAGTAGAGGAACCAATAGTGCGCCTAATGCGAGGTTAGACATTCATGCCCGTGGGTTCTGGGGGCGCCAACGTGCCGCACTCTTTGACGTGCGGGTTTGTCACCCTAATGCCAACTCGTACCGGAAAATGGAGTCCCAACAGGTCGATCGGATACGTGAGAACGAGAAGAACCGCCAGTATTCTAGAAGAGTACTAGATGTTGAACAGGGAACATTCACCCCGCTGGTTTTACGACAACGAGTGGAATGGGGAAAGAATTCCTTAAGTCTCATTGTAGATTGGCAGAGCTCTTTGCCTCAAACAAAGAAGTACAATATTCCACAGCCATCTCCTGGGTAAGTGCTCGTTTCGTTTGCGCTTTTGCGATCTTCTCTTGTCTGTTTAAGAGGCTCCAGGAACATTGGGAAAGTTCAGTGTCACATTAAGAACAAAGACATTGATATTGAAGTTGTTGATGGGTCCATCTCCCAGGTATTTTTATTGCCAATTTTTACATTTCTTAATATCAGCCTTTAATTCTTTATTGCTATATTTTAACCTAGAGAAGTCTTACCTATTTCAATCAAAGTTTTTAAAATATATTCTATTTTTTTTCCCTTAGCGAACATATTAGTAATGTATTTATATTTAAAATTTTATTGCTATCGACATATGTAAAAAATATAGAATTATAAATTCCATTGTAAATATATTTTAGCACTTGAAATAAACACATTTCCCTTTCATTATTGTAAGGTAGGTTTGTCCTTAATTTTTCTGTCTAATCTAGACCATATATATGGTCCAAAGTACCTATAAGAATGTTTCCCCGTGATGTACACTATTAAATCTGGGTAAATGAAAATCCGTTTTTCTTCAGCGATATTTGGATGACTGACCATTAAAAATGTCAACGACATTACTAAGGTACCAAACCATATCTAACTTTGTACATTAAGGTTGCAAGATCTCGTAAACGCCTGTTTTTTAGGCTAAGTAGATTGGCACGGGCAAGAAGATAGAGTACTCCACTGAATGTGTGTTATACAGAATCTTAAGGGCCCGTTCCTGTACTCTTTCAACTTTTCTGGAAATGGGAGTACTGAAATCAGGCGATAATTTTCTTTGGCTTGTTTGTCTCCCTTTTTGAATACAGGTGTCCATTCCCCCATTTTCCTCTTCGTAGATCAGAAGCCCTCAGCAATATAGTGGTGGAATATGGCCCCCAAAGATGGAGCAGTAGCGGAAGCAGTTTTCTTAAGGAGGATAGGTACAGTAAGAGAGTCCCAACTGGGGATTTCCTAGGATTGATAATTTCAATAACATCAGGCACATCTGTTTCAGTAATTGCTGGGAAGCTGAAATCCAGGGCTGCATCATGATGTTTTCTTGGTGTAATATTGGTGATCCTCCTCAAGTAAATCATGCACATGTTGTCCTCCGATATTTAGCGCTACATTGGCAAAATAATCCGCAAAACAATTAGCAACAACGACCGCATCATTCTTCGTAACATTTCCATCTACATTCAGACTGGTAGGATTATTCTTAGCAGTTTTGTTGCTAATGAAAGGCTTAAAAGTGTTGTAGACGTCCCTTGGGTTTACCCTGATCTTTTCCAATTTCGTTTTCCAGAATTGTTTAATTCCTTACCTGTGCTCTTTCGTGGCCAGATTTATGTACTTCTTCTTCAGTTTGACGTTTTCATTAGTTTTGTTTTCGCAAATAGTCTCTTCTTTCTGATGGCTTTTTTCCAGTCTACGATCATGTACGGGACATCGTTTTCTCGCACTCGTTTTCTCCTAGTTGGTGCATGATAATTGATCATGTAATTCATCAGTCCGTTCCAGTAATCGATTCTATCGTCGATTTCCGTGAATATCTCACCCACATGCCAGAGAGCGTTTGAAAGGTCATCTGTCAATTGCTCGCAATCAGTGGTTTTTAGATTTCAACACAAGATTGTTTTTGGCTTGTAATGAGTAATTTTCTCATTTATTAGGCCGTATATAAGGCAATGATCACTGATGTATGGATTATAGGTCCCACCCTTTGTAAAAATATCAGGCCTATTCATGAGTATAACAGCGATCACGGTGGATGATAAGTTTGATATTCGAGTAGGGCTGGTTATTAGACTTTCTAAACCAAAGCCGTCCTCCAAATCTTTCAATATTTTGCCTTCTCTTTTGTTTGTATCCGGCCTATTGAGATTGAGGTCCCCCGCGAGAACTGGCGTTTGTTTCTGCATCTCGGCCCACATGAATAAAGAATTAAGCTCGCCTTCCTTAGCGATGAAAATATCTTTCGGTTTTGCTTATTTCAATTCTTCGGTTGACGTAATTAACCTTCGGTAAAACTAAGTTTTGTTTATTTAATATACCGCTCACACTGGAGAAAATTCTAGGATTGTCTTCAGACACAGAATAAACAGAGTCACCCTGAATGAAAGCATAAAACACGTTAAACTTAAAAATGTGTCTATTACCGTTGAACGAGTCATTACCAGAAATGAGACATATTACGTCACGAATAGCGCACGTCAATCAAAAATCACTGAAGAAATGGCTTCCCGGTGTTACAAAGAAATGTATGGAAGCAAAAAACAAAATCTCGTATTGTGGTTGTTTAAGAAGATCCAATTTTGGTGCCGACCTCTCATAGAAAAATAATATGCCATTGAACTCTGAAGCAAAGGTTTATTGATAATTTGGTTTACTGTTGTGGCCGCAAAGAAGATCTTAAAAGAACACGGGTTACTGTCTGTACTTCGACTCTCATTTCATCAAATTACCTTAACTTACCTTCACTTTAGAGCTTTAAAACAACCAGTGTCTTTTATGCCTCCATTGGTGCCGACCTCTCAAAATTTTCTTCAGTTTACGATCTCTTAAAACACGTAAAGTAGTGCCATTTCTGATAAAATAGAAGGCCACATATTAAAAAACACAAATAGGATATTTTTACGGATAGATTTAGCTCCATTTGGGCTTGCAGATTCCTGGTAGGACTCGAAAAATGGATACTTTCCACCGCTCTTCTCGTCGAAATCTTCTATGTTTACCACCTGTGCTACAGCTTGGTAACCAAGCTTTTACCGCTGTTCAAAAAACATGCTGGCTCAGTAAAGCGACAAATTTAAATCTGAACAAAACCTTGTATCACGATGAGTTCCAGTCTTATTTCTTTTAAATGTCTGATGTTGTTTTGCTTGATTTCGAGAAGAAAGCTTTAGAGTTTCGTTTTCGTATTATGTTTTCGTGTTCTAAAATGAATTCTTCAACTGAGTAAACAGAAGGGAACCTTCCCTCGGCCATTTTTCAAAGCGCGCGGGTTTTGTGCAACGGCTCTCTCATGCCGTTCTCTTCAGCACGTTCCTTTATCATTAGTGAAATTTCGTCGTTCGCGTTGCTGATTGGACGAACGATTATTTTTCACGGTGAAATTTTTTCGTTCGTACTCCTGATTGGCTACATTTAGAATCAGTACGAATTTTATTCACTTCGATTTTTGTGGGTAAATCTCAGTACCTATGAAATAAACCGTAATACAGGCATAAGAAGCCAGATGATTTTGGAACTTTGGAACATATGGAGCTTAAATCTTAGTTTTTTTTTTTTGCGGGCAACTGATTCAAACTTCCTTTTATCCGGGAGTTTTGGTCACCCGTACGGGAGAGCGGGAGATTGGCTCTGTATCCGGGAGACTCCCGAATAATCCGGCATATATGATGATATAGCTCTGGCTAGATACATCCCTTACACCATTCTGATGAAATGGCACCAGCTTGTTGGGGTAAAAGATGACAAAAGAAATGAATTAGACTTAATTGACTACCTTAACTTTTGGATCCTGGGTCAATTCAATCCATCGAATTATGGATGTACGCGGAGGTTGCTAAGCAAAAGAAAAAAAGCGTAAGAGGGGAGGTGCGACTCTAGCTTCTTGAGTGCTTAGCAAACCTTCCAAGTGTATCCAAAACTCGATGGTTGTTCGCTGCATGCTGATCATTTCTTTAAACTTTGCTACTTTCAAACACCTTTCGCTCAGTGTGGAAAATAAAAGAAAGTAGTAGATATATACTTATAGAAAATAAGGAAAGAAGAGTCACCTGTCTTTTTGCATTTTCGATCTCGATTCCATCCCGACGTTCCCAAGTATAACTTCCATCGCCACTTATGGTGCAGTTCAGAGACAATGGTACTTCTTCAGTTACATTCATAACAACGGTGGTGTTATGATGTCAATTACTACGACAACAAAATATTGAACCAATGTTAGCAAATATATCTTAGACTAACCTCAGCATTATTTCTCAAAGATTAGTTCATTTTTAACTTTGGTGAGTCAGATATTTTTTTTTACTTTTTCAGATTATTTCATTTTCGATACTAACTTGAAGGACGAAATTATCTCGTGGTGACAGCGATTTAATTTGCCTAGAAGTAACAAATTATCTTGTAATACCCCTCACCGACCTGGTACCCACAATTTCTTTAGAAACTTATCTCCTAAGTAAGCAACTTGTGAAGCTTTCTTTCAGTCGCGACATGGTTTTTAGATTATATTAATTTTTTCACGCGTTACGTTTGATCTTAAGCAAGCTAGTCGTGGTTCAGTGTATCCCCGTTTTGGCGGGGTCCATAAGCCGTATGGCAAAATGTTGCAGTAGATGCATAATCACGTAACAACAGTTTGAAAAGTGATTTGAAACGTGAAAAGTGACTTTCAATTCCCAACATGCGCATGTGTTGTGTTACAATGGTTTAATCTATAGACGGCTTGATGGAGAGAAATAGATTCGGAGTTACATACGAATATCATATCATTTTTATAATGAAATAAACTTTCCATATCGCGTCTTCATTGTGTCTATTTTTTGGCTGACCCGAGATCAAGGTGTGTTGTTGAATTTGGTTTAGTCGACGAGACAACAACGTCATGCTTAACATCATGTGTCTGTCAGTCACAGTTATAATTATAGCACTCTGAATATTAGACAAATATGAGAAAATAACTTTTGATCAATAAGGAAATTAAAGGAAGTAGAAGTTAATGAATCAAGGCAATTCAGTCTGAACTGAGTGGAATTGTGTTTGTAGATCAAACATATTTGAAATTCATCCACCCACGTTACGAGAAAGAGAGTTTCACGAAATTTGTTCTATTACCGCAGAATTGTGCGTGACTTTAGTTTTTTACGTGGCGTTGTGGTAGTCTGGGCCAGGCGCTAGGTCCCGGATGACGACGCTAGTGAACGTTTTCGTGGTAGATTCCTAGTCTTACAGTTTATTTACGGTTTACGGTTTTTGCGGTCTTATGGTCACTGCTAAAAGGACGGATAAAAGGAATATAAGGGCTATAAGTTGTTTCCCAAGGTTGAAAGGACACAGATGTAAGTTTTCTGTTTATTTCATAATAATTTGTTACCTATAATTTCTGCTCTGATAGTTGAGGCACTCAGCCTGTTATAATTCTAGGTTTTTGCCTTTTATTTTTCATAGTTTTCATTACCTCATCTCGCCTTGTCTCACTTCAATCGATTAATGTGATTATGTATGCATGTGGATGGAAATCCATAAGCGTAATGACTTTGTGAAAAAACAAGTTGCTGTTTTATATGTGATCACACAAAGGGGCCGCAGCGATCATAACGAAGGCAGTTCTGCGACCGTATGTTCAGAGATGTGAGAACTTTCTGTAAATGCGTAAATACGTTTCCGTTTTCTACCAGCTAGCTCGAACTCTCCTGTTGGTGGTGAATCGAGTTACTGCACTTAATTTAGGAAATTACAAACGTCGTGCAGAAACCAGATCGAACATACGAGTAGCTTCTATATTAATCGTTTCTTGACAGAAACTTGTCTCTCAGAAGATTAGGGCGGAAGAATGTTGTTATCTTCAATTCTTTATTTATTTCACTTTGCTTAACGCACTTTTTTGGCGAGATCAGCAACACAGGGCTATACAAAATGCGTATCTTCACAACAATTGTGCTTTTGTGCGACATTATTGAAATATGATAGATGTGTTATTAAAATGGTTTCCGTGTTTACATAGCCTGATGTAAACACGCGGGAGGTTGGGAGAACACGAGATAAGCATAGGAAACCACGAGGCGAAGCGGATTGGTTTCCAGCTTATCGAGTTGAGAAACATCACAAACACGCACGCAAGCATCTGATTCCCGCGGCTTGCCTGTGTACTGCTGAAACGGGACCCGTTGCCTAGCAAGTGACCAACATCTTCCTAAATTTAAATTTTACCCTTTTCCTTGGGAACCTTTTTTACTGAAAAAAAAAAATTTGTGTGTATAGGGTGTACATATAGTATACTTTAAATTGCTAAAATAATTTTAGGGTCAGAATCTTTAATTTGATCAACATGTTTTGTTGTGGCCATTCCTTTTCCAAGAAAGCGTAGTAAACAGTTCAATTTTTCGGTGTTTGTCCAAGCGTGAAAAATACAACTTTGTCTTGACAAACTGTCACGCTTCTCCATTCACAGCCATGCGAAATCCCTGCTGTCGAGCTGCGACTTTAATTGAACGTGTGAGAAGGCTTTACAAACGGCATTAAATAGAATTTGGCGGAAAATGAATCTTGATTTAAGGTGGTATTTACTTGCAGAAACATAAACACGGTAATGTGACGGTGTGTACCAAACTTGCATGTTTCACGCTTGAACAAATGCGTAGAAAGCTGAATACTGAAAACAAAATACTCTTAGTAATACGCTTCACATTTCGAAACTTTATACTCATTTTCATTTCCAGAAAGCTTTTAAAACATCTCTCGGCGGCTTTGTTGCCTGATATGAAATGTTCACCACAACATGACGGCAACTTTCACTTCAGTTGGACGATCACCAAGCATAATATTTTCTATAAGATTCCAGTTATTCGGTGAAAAATCGCTGGTAAGTGTGCTGAAAGTTCCGGCTGTTGTTTTAACAAAAGCTTACACAAAGACGTCACAGTTGTTATGGTAATACCTTTTTAATAATCATTTTCATAACAACCTTGACCATTGTAAAGGTTTCACAGAATTCGTCAAAATTATGAAAGTTTCACTGTCACTCGAACAGCTAAACCCAAGAGTTGAACGTTCTCTGGATAAAATTACAAATATCAAAGAGAGAGTTGATGAAATTTTGGGCGAGAAACCCTCATCAAGCAGCTGACCGAGGTTGATGCAGGTGGTTCAATATTTACTCAAAAATTCTAAAGACATTTGCATATGTTTGGATTTTCGCATTCTACAGAGGTGCTGTTATTTCTTCCATGAATGTAGAGAATTACATCAACGCTTGCAATCGGTAAGTGTCTATGCGGTTTCTTAAACCTGAAAGGTTCATCTTACAATTAATACTTCACCTAAGCGCGAATTACAATAAAAAAAAAACACATTAAAAATTTGGATCGAAACCATCAGCGCGATCTCATCATGGAAGCCGAAGTCTTCTATCGAACGGCTGAGCTTCCTAGAGTTACAGGATCCAATCTCGACCCCCAAAAGCATTGGAATCAGGCCGAATGCTTTTCCAAAGAAAAAAATACGTTCTTTTCCGCCAGCGGGTCTCGGGGGTTGGGGGTTAGGGTTTAGGGTTTAGGGTAAGCTGTACGTTCAACACCAAGTAACCAAACAACATTTATGTCGTATGTTCATTTGGTCTCTGAGCCGGACTAATTAGACAGCGAGAATTTCCAGGAGATGGATTTGTGAGATCTCAAAATAAAATCCTGTTGTTGATGCGGTTAATTTTAATCTGTTCTACACCCTCTGGGTAGAGTATACCTGAGAGCTATTTTCAACCTCTCTTACACCCATTAGGTAGTGTATACCTGAGGTTATTTTTGAAAACAACCTGGTGACTGACAGGTGCTTTGCCTCATTTATTGAAATAGTTTTTTCATGTTCTGCAATTTTTTTATTGAGACTTTTGCTCTCAACACTAAACACTGTTGATATAATGTTAAAAAAGCCGGGTAAACCAGCCATGGGTACCCCAGCTATCGCCCCAATTCCACAGAGAGAAACCGCCACACAGCTGACGTTACTCCCGTGTATGTTGTGCGACAAAGGATCTAATTTTCTTTAATTTGCCAACAACACGTCGGTAATGGATAATTTCATTATCAAGTTCCTTCTTATTATATGGTGGTGCACTTGGGCCGCGAAGCGCTTCGCGCCTAAGTGGTCCCTGACCCGAAGGGCTTGGGCACGAAGGGTTTGGGCACGAAGAGCTTGGGACGCTTCGAGGCCCCTAGTATGAAGGGCTTGGACCATGACCCGAAGGGCTTCGCAAAATATTTTCAGAAGACATGATTAAATCATGAAATTATTTCCAGCTCAAACCTCAAAGGGAGACCATTGAAATTAATGAACTCTTTGTCTTTAAAATGTCAACTGCTGTTTTTTTAAATTAAAGTTTGATTTCAAGGTTGACTTGAAATTTAGGTTAAATTCATGAGATGACCTGAAAATCAAGTTTGTTTTCAAAATGAACCAGAATTCCCCTTTTCTCACTAGTATAACACTCAAAAATTCGATGAAAACACATCGATTTTGAACTGCCCTTATTTGGATCTTTATTAGACCGATTAACGGTTCACTGACTTAGTTACAACTTCCTCCTTTATGACTGCATCATAGGAGCTGGGTTAAGATATCGTGTGTTTAATAAAGTAGATCACTTGGAAAACAAACCACAACTAACCCAAAACATTAAAGATAAGGTGGTGAAATTGCGACCAGAAATATCTCACACACCTACTAAGCTATTTCGGTTTGCTTTGACGGCATCAGTAGGGCGGTACTACGCTTTAGTGCACGTGGTTGTCCACTGTTCTAAAATCGAATTGTTTCAGCACCCTTTCAGTTGTGTGTGGATGACCTTAAGAGAGGTTAAAGTTTGGCTAAAGTTCAACTGAGATAATATGCATTTAAAAAGATGTCACCTGAATTTATCAAATTTTTTACTGCAATGCAATCTTTGCGATCGATTGATAAGTAAATACCGACAGTTCTTGGGATAGAAAAGACGTCAGACATATGCAAAGTGCACTCATCTTATGGTACTGTGGGAACAAAAAGACACATTTGCGCTATTCAGAAGCACAAGTGTTCTTTAACATTTCATTCGTCATATGGAATAAGTCTATTATCTGTCGGAACTTTTTATAAAAGCCTTGGTAACGGTCTTACTTTTTCAAATTGGTTCCTTGGGTTCGGAATGAACTTGACAAAAGATAACCAGCAATCACGTCGCACCTTAGTCCTCTTTTTCGCTTCAAACAGGTCTAGGCACTAACTGAGATTTTTCAAATTGCTTACTGGAATCAGTGCACTCTAAAAACCTGTTTCTCAACCTAAAGATGCCCAAAAATTTTGTTTTGGAAACAGTATTCTGAAACTCATTATTTTTTTGGGCTTCACCCAAGCCTCGTGTAGGGGCAAAGTACAAGCTCTTTAGCTCTGTATGGGAGGGCTAGAAAATGTAGAGAGGTTCAACACACTCGTGTTTCGCTATTGTTTTGCTCGCTTGATCTTTTTGTGACATGAACGCCACCCCGGTTAGGAGGGTTACCCCACCTCGAGACGTTTACATGGCAAATTGTCACCCCGGCCGACAGGGTTATCCTACAGCAAACCGGGCGACCCACCTATCATGTAAACGTGATCAAGATAAAATAAGAAATTATATGAACAGGCAGGTTACCCCACCTAGGCGGGTTACCTCACCTACCTGGGGTCCAGGCCTCCATGTAAATAGGTCCGAAGTGTTACTGCATTGTGAAATGTGATTTTTGGCATGTCTAGCACTTTAAGCAAGTTTATGAAATGTTAGCACTCAGCGAGGTCTGGTTCGGTTTAAAACCGTGGAAAACTAAAACGTTTCGCGGCGCAGGAACGGAATGAATGAGCTTATTGCAATTGTTTCCTCTATTTAACCTGCAGTTTTTTCTCTCTCCTAGAACATCAAAAGCTGGATTACGGCAATTGCTTGAATCAGATAAGTACATTCCTACTTTTTATTTTGATTTTTTGATCTGTTCACCTCATTGCTAAACTTTGATTGCGTAGAAGCAACAATAAAGTTTCCGCTGACAAGCCAGGTAAGTGATAGTATTAAGTGAGCCAACGCACGTCATCAGAGATTGGATTATTGACTAGTTGAATACGCATTGTATCTGATCGCTTTGGATAGACTTGAGAAAACACCCATTGAAGCTTTTGTGTTTCAATTCGCTGTTAAAGGAACAACTTTCAGACTATGAATTATGTCAGGCCCCACCTGACAAACTTGAAAGACTCACTTTCAAGTGAAACATATTCTGCAATACAAGAAAAGCAGGACAAAGACCTTTGGAAGATGAAACGCTTTCAAGCTACGTGTTATCTGTTTTCCTTGTCACCATCGAGATGCTCTGCCACAAATGTTATGCCACAAATCTTGAAAGAACAAGCGCTTTCAAGATATTTCCAAATTGCTCGATGGCAACCAAACCAAGACAAAAATTGCGTTCAATCTTACAATTTTAAGACAGAGAAACTTTCGCTGTTTGGTAACTGATCCTTAACTTCTCTAAATTTAATTTTTCTGCGGCTAAAAAGTTGTGAATTTCCGTGCGAATTCCGATTCTATTGAAAAATGAGGAGATTTCGGTTTTTTTTCTTGTTACTTCCAAGCAAATTAAATAGTGTCACTCCGGGATAATTTCGTGCTTCAAGTTAGTATCAAAAACAGAATAAAGTAAAAAGTATATAAAAACATATCTGACTCATCAAAGTCAAAAATGAACTAATCTATGAGAAATAATGCTGAGGTTAGTTTACGATGTATTAGCTAACTTTGGTTCAATATATTGTTGTTGTAGTAATTGTTAAAATCGCCACCGATGTTGTGAATGTAACTGATGGAGAGTCAATGTCTCTGAACTGCACCATAAGTGGTGATGGAAGTTATACCTGGGAACGTCAGGATGGAATCGAGGTCGAAAATGCAAAAAGACAGGTGACTCTTCTTTCCTTATTTTCTATAAGTATATATCTACTACTTTCTTTTATTTTTCACACTGAGCCAAAGATGTTTGAAATTATCAAAGTTTTGAAGAAATGATTAGCATGCAGCAAGCAACCATCGAGTTTTGGATGCACTAGGGATGTTTGCTAAGCACTCAAGAAGCTAGAGTCGTACCTCGCCTCTTACACTTCTTTCGTGCTTAGCAACCTCCCGCGCGCATCCATAATTCGATGGTTGCACGCTGCAAGCTGAGCATTTTTTAATACTACCCATCCGGTTATATTTTACCCCACCTTCTCACGGACTCTCTCAACAGTTTTCACCATCCATCCCACCGTATTTCCTCCCTGCATCTGGAGTTGTTGTAGTACAGCAGGTCTCCCATTCTTATTATTGAAGACAACAACGTGGCACTGCTAAGAATGTGTCCCTTTCCTATTTCGGAATATCGAGCTGAGCTGTATCTTGATTACTTCCAATATCAATGAGAACACCTGTAATCCCTTTTCATTGAACATATCTAACTTCTTGAATGCCTTTCTTTACGTTTCTAGAATTCATCATTTCTTTTTTATGGTAATTTTCCTTAAAGATTTCAAATTCAATTACAGGGGTCATTTACATAAAATAAACAAATGGTACTATACAAAACGATCAATTATTCCAACGATAGTGGAATTTCTCCGTATGGAAACCTCTTCCAAGGGATCCCCATTCTCCGGGGTAACAAACTTTGTTCCCCGCTAAGAATAAAGCTCCTTCAATATATGTGCCTGTGTTTCTCATTTGAAAAGGCACCTCGCCCTGAGGACCTAAACTCTGGTCCCGAAAGTCACCTCGCCCTGAGGACATAAACTTTGGTCCCGACGAGGAAAAATGCACTTCCAGTTGTCTTCATTTAAGGGAAACTTAGCTCAAAGGACACTTTTCATAAACCAGGAGGTGTCTCCTGTGGAGAGGTCAGGACTGTAGATTCAATCGAAGCAATAAGTGCTAAGGAGCTCACTGCCAATAAGAACCAATTAAGTACCAAGGATTGTGGATGTGACCCTGTAATAGAAGCCGTGCAGAAAAAGATCTTCATTCAAATTATCTCATTACACATCATTAGTCTTGTTTAGGTTAAGAAGCTGGTCCAGAATAGCTTTGCTAATAAAGGGCTATTAAGGACTTTTGAACAAGGATTTCTAAATAATAATCCCAACGCTGTCGCTGTTTTTGTTGAAGGTTAAAGGAGGAGGACGACTGCTTGAAATTATTGATGCGGCCATTGCAGATTCTGGTGCCTACACCTGTAAAGTAGGCGAAATCTCTCACACCATCACGCTACAGGTTCTTGGTATGTAGATGATAACACGCCTTTCAACTTAAACTCACTTTACTCTAAATTCAAAGGGAACCACAAGTATCGTTTAAACTTACATGTCTCAAATAAATTAATAACTTCCTAATACATAGAAGCAGTCCCTCCTTTTCGGCAAAGTCCGTCGCGTGATTCATAAATACTAGTGAAATAAAACTTGGAGAAGCTCGTGGAGAAATCTGGGAAGCTCTTGGAGACATGTTAGCCCCGAGAAAACTTCCCTCAACTTGAAGATAACAATAGCTAAATCGGTAGTTGACAAATCCGCAAAAGAGAGTATAAATAAACAGGAAGGAACAAGCAAGGGTAAGGATGGAAAGATTAAAATGGATTGTAATTGGTCACAAAGTGTTAGTTCGGTTGTTGACTAAAACTCAAAGAGGCAATAATGTACTAGGAAGGAAGAAGTATTATATATTGTCCGTTGTAGAGATGAGCATGTTGTGATTTTTTTTTACTACAGTTCAAGTCAAGGTGGAAATGGCCCTGAAGGTTGAAAATTACAACTACACGAAAGAGCTGGAGAATAAGTCATCGTCACAATACGAGGCAATCGCGAAAAACTTTACCGAGGAGGTATGATTTCTTCCATCTTTCCATTCCCTCTCTCCCCATTCCTTTTTTTTCTCCCACGCTCATCCCTTTTTGCTATCCTCTCCAAGCCTCCCTCCTTTCTTTTCCTCCTTCCTCTGTTCTTTCTTTTATTCTCCATTAATTCCCTCTTCCCTCCCTCATTCCCCTCCCAACCTTACCTTCTCTCCCTTTCTTACCTCTCTCTCTTCTTCCTCTTGTCACCTCCTGCCCTCCTTTCTTCTTTCTCCTCCCTTCCCATTCTTCTTCCTCCTTCGTTTCCCCTTCCAACACTCCACCATTTCTCCCACCCTCTCACTCTCTTTTCAGTCCTTCCTCCTTCCCTCCTCTTTCCCTGGATTCTTACCTTCCTTCCCATTGTCTGTTCGTACCACTTATTCCACCGAATGACTTACCAACCATCTTTCTCTCTATCTGTCACCTCGTCAACCCGTTCAATAGCTTCGAATGCAAGTGTTTAGAGAGTTCTAATAACTGAAAAAAAAGCAACATCTCTTGTTATGTTTCAGATGGACATCGTTTACAGAAATACTTTAGGATACATGAGAACGGAGGTTTTGAAATTGACGTGAGTACCAGAGCGTATTCCTAATTTTTAACTCCACAGTTAAAAATTCAAAATATTTCATTTTGGCGTGAATCAGTCTCAATAGTATCTAATAGCATATCTCTTAATTCATGTGCTGTATTGATCTAAGCGTGGACAAACTATATCCATGATCTCCATGGCACAAAAATTTTATCGAAAAAGTCACTTTCACTTATCAAAGATAAATAGCAAACAATTCCTTGATTATTGAGAAATGCATATGTAAGTCGTTATTGCATAGAGCTAATAGACCCTCTGACGCCCTTTATAGTAATCAATCCTCACACCAACGATTTTGAGATCCGATTCCCTACAACTGAGTAACCAATGTGAGAAAGGTGTTTTAACACCTTAAAAGTTTCATGCTCGGAGAAATAATAAAGAAATGGTTTCCCTCTAACTTGACCCCTGATTTCCATTTTTCTATAAGTTACCACGTTATAAATCATTGTAGCTATAGTATGACTATTTTCTAAAACGACTTTTGTCCCTTAATATTTTAGGAAAGGAAGTGTGGTAGTGGATTTCAACATTATCATTCAAATTGTAACAACCGATCCAAAAAATGAAACAACTACCGTAGATAAAAAGGCCTCAGTCGTCCAGACAACAATTAAAGAAGCCAAAGATGGGTTTGTAGGACGGCTAAAAGCTTCCAAAGTTATTCCAAAGAGTAAGTGTGCCGTGGTGAAACTGGGTATTTACATGTTTTTTTAACGCTTTTGAGCGGAATTCGATATTTCCCAGGACTCCAGTCTCTTATTATGCTTCTTTCCACCCAGAAGCATGGATATGTATGAATGGGTGGTAACAAACTGCCACTGCTCCTGAAACGTAGCAAAATTGCAGATGAATTACCTGTCATGGAGTGGTTTCCTTCTCACGGACTCTCTCAACAGTTTTCACCATCCATCCCACCTTATTTCCTCCCTGCATCTGGAGTTGTTGCAGTACAGCAGGTCTCCCATTCTTATTATTGAAGACAACAACGTGGCACTGCTAAGAATGTGTCCCTTTCCTATAGCAAAATTGCAGATGAATTACCTGTCATGGAGTGGTTTCCAATCCAGGAGAAGTAGGAACACTCCTGGTATCTAATTTCCCCTGAAAGTATCATTAATTGCTAACTAAGAGAGCTTTTGATTGTTGAACAAATACTCCTGTTGGGAAAGTGGGATGTTTATACGAAAACGTTGTGGAGAATGTGCAAACTGGTGCTCAATGGACCACTTACTTCGTAAGATTTAATCACCCGGGTAAGAAAGGGTTAATGTCAATAGAAACGTTACATAAGGAGGCTTTTCTTGCATCATGTGATTGAAAAGGATATGAAGAAAACAAAATAACATGGAAAATGAGCGGGTTATGCCACAGACGCACTCAGAGGCAAAAACCAAATGTCTCTGTTACTTGAAACTTGCACCTTGTTTCATCGTTTAGCCCTCAGATAATCACTTTGATTGTCCACTGTTTTCGAAATTTATGATCATTTCCCATCTATTCTTCATTTTTAGCCGAACCTCCAGAGCCTAATGGTGTGGAGATCTTTGATATCAAATCAGATGAGCTGAGCATTCGATGGAAACCGTCGGAAGATGCTGAAACTTTCGACGTTCGCACTTACTCGGTGCAATACAGAGCATATGGTGAAAAGACCTATAGCGAGCATAATCAAACAGCAACCACTGAAACTACAGACCATTCTTACAGGATTAAGTCTCTCGAACCTGAGACTGTCTACATGATACGGGTCGGTGCTGTTAACCCGTATGGACCCAACTTCAACGAGGAAACTGGCCATGAAACCGAACCCGCACGTAAGCCATTTTAAGTTATATACAGCAATTTGTAAAATTGACAAAGTTATCCACAAGTATTCGGTGAATTTAAAGTTTTTTCACTGTTTTTTTAACCCTCACACGTGATGTCTCGTGCTATAATTTTTTTATCTTTAGTTTTATGCATTACTATCGTACCTTCGCAATTTGTAAGCGTCTAAACGCAGGTCGTTATACTCTGGCAAACATATGTTGGAAATTTCGATGGATTCCCTCGTTTCGAAACTAGGGAGAGAAATTTTGAATCAGAGTCAGGCTTTAACAAGCCATTTTAACACTGTAGTGCTACTCACATCTTACACCAAAGGGCTTCTTACCTCGTAATTTAACGCCATATGCCCCGTCTCATCTTACCTATGGCCATTCCTTTAATACTGATACAAAGCCTTTGGAAAAGGTCCACAATGTCATGTGTGGCTTTCATTCTGATATCATACATATTTTTTATTACAGCTTTGGCATGGTGGATTATTGTCTTGGCCGTGTTAGGTGTACTCTTGATTCTTGGCATACTCATCGGCATTATTGTGTACAGACGGAAGAAAGCGCGGGAAAGAAAGAAAAGAGAAACTCGATTTCGAGCTCTAAAGGTACCATAACAGTAGATACAATTATTGCGTCAATCCCATATAAGCATAAACCAGATACCGATATATCAAATATCACGAGGGTGAGAACTCAAGGTAAAAAACAAGAAAGCCGCTTAAAGCGCTTTTAAGAAAGTGGTGTAAGTTTCTGGATTAGTCACACAACACAGCAAGGCAACTGAACCAAAGTAATCCCGGATTACTTTGGAAACTCAATTGAAACATTTCTCCATCAGAAATATAGCGCACGGTACGAAAGTTTCTGTCGACTTATCCCTTCCGTTTGACTAAAATTACGCCATCCTTGATGTGAAATCACTGGCTGCACACATTTTTCTCTTTCAGAACAAAGTCGCAGTTTGCCATGATGAGGATGTTGGAGGATTAACATACTCGTTTACAAACGCTGCTTACAGGTCGGGCGAGATGAACTGGGAAGAGTTTCCCTACGAGAATATTAAACTGTTGAGTGAACTAGGTTCGGGAGCCTTTGGCGTCGTTTTTAAAGGAGAGCTGTTACAAGATAACGGGAAAATCATTCCTTGCGCTGTAAAAGCTTTAAAACGTAAGTCTTGCATGTAAGGTTCACGTGTAGCATGTTAAGCAGTCAGCTTGTCAGTTTTGATCAATCAGATAGGCAGTCAGTTAGTTAGTCGGTTAGTAAGCCAGTTTGGCAGCCAGACAGTCAGTGAACTAGTCAGCTAATCAACTA